AAAGAATTCTGAAAACCGCCTCTAACTTTATATATATGTATATATATAAATAATTGAATTTCAACATCTTTTTCATCACATTTAATGGAGCTCATTTCAAGTATAAAATACCTGTACAGAAGAAGTAGAAAAGTGAAAGCATTATTTTGTTAATATTCATTTGCCTAGGAAGCATAACCTTGAAGGACATATTTTCAGTGCCTTGTAAGGAACCATTTTCTCATCTCTCTGAATAACTTTTTTCCTCCCAAGTATGTGAGCATCTATCTCTTCCCCTTGGAGGATGAATAGTAAAATGCATCCATCTTTTTCTCTATGGGAGTACAAAAAACAGTTGCTAGGGATTCCAGAAACATTCATTACAAAATCATTACATTATCTCCATCAGCAGAAAACAGCGTTCCAAATGCCATCCTATACCAGTGACATAAAATCCTTTCTACTAGTACAAAAATGAACAATATGAAAGCCAAGTTAAATGACAATTCCAGTAGTAAGCAATGTCTATTTGCTCAAAGGCAATCTCACACTGAACTAACACTCCATAGAAAAGAGAAAGTAGGTTGGCTACACCACCTTCCGGTAAACCATAGGAGTATTTGCTCCACAACAGCACGAACCGTGCCAACACAGAGGCATCAGGCAGCATACAAAATCCTAAGTTCCACTTCCGCACTGATCTGGTTTATAGCAGTGTCTCACAGTCATAAAGCTCATAATTGCAGCTTACACCGTATCTCCAAAATGAGGACCATATTCTGCCCTAGGCAAGCCTAGGGAGTCCCATGACTTTACAAAGAAATGCAGACATAGAAAACTTATGCTTTTCTTTGCTTTCGTTTGCAAGCTAAAAAAAAAAAAAAAAAAAAACTCTGAATATCTCCTTAGCAATAAGATCAATAAATTTTGAGACAATTTTTCACAGTTGCAAACATTTCTATAAAGTAAAAAACTTTATAAATTGATCATACACAAAACCTACCAAATAACTAAAAATGAAAATTGTTTTATATATAAAAACATTTTTTGCTAACTTCTGTTCTATCTTGTTTGGGGTTGTTGTTGTTGTTGTTGTTTTTAACATAACAGATAACAGATTATCTGCCTGGTGCCTCCACCTTATTCAAAGTGAGGAAACTTAGAGAAAATATTTGAGCTACTCTGAACAAGAAGAACGAACTACCAAGCAGGCATTGCAAGTTTTGCTGGGCAAAAATCCCAATTAGAGGCTCAAGTTTATCAGTAGAAGGTAAGCATCTATTTTAGTAGTAGCAGGTGTTTGGGTTGAACAGAAGTGGAAAATGGAAAAAAAAAAAAAAAAAAGAACCCACTTTAGCCAACAGTTCAGCAAGCAGCATACTCCTTACTATTAAGTGCTGTGAACTTTGAACCACAAAGCTTCTAATGACTCATACAAAACCAAATACCACAATGAGGATAATAAAGTTCTTACTCCAGAAACCTGTGATCTTCAAAAGCAGAGTTTTTCCACTCAGCTTAATTTGGATTGAACCAGAACCCACAGAAGGACCATTATCCTCAATGCCACAAGCTAGATTTTACCTCTCTGCTCTCCACCGCACACATATTCAACAAAATCAGCACTTTTTTTTTTTCTAATAAAGTTAGGTTTGATTTTAAGAAATAGACAGTTTCCAGAAGTGCGCTTTCAAATGAAAAAATTGAAAATTTGTTAGGACAGGCTCTATTTACAAACTAGTCAACTACTAGATCAGAGATATAGACTAAACATTTGAAGAAATTTCAAAGAAACATCATTTTTCTTTCATATGAATTCTCAAGTCTTTGCTCAGCTCCCTTTGTTAATCTAGAGTTGCCTTTTTTGGTTATAGAAGCAGAAAAAAAAAGTCAAGACTATTTAAATGTAAAAAGAACACAGATGAAAGAAAAAGGACTAGTTAATGACAAATAAGGACTGACAACAAGACAAAGCAGGCAAAGATTGAAAAATGCATTTACTGATACAGAGGATATAAATGAAAGGATAGGCAACTTACTTTGTAATTTATTCTGAGAAGAGAAAGAAGAAACATTCAACTTTCTAATGCTAGCACTATTCACAAACATTAAAACCCTATAGGACTCCCTATAAAGAGACATGAGCTTGTTCTGCCTGTACTCCAAGTTGACAAGAATCCCACAGCTGTGGTTAGCAGGGCACCAAGCCCAAGCTAATAAAGTTCAGCTGGGAAGCAGGCTATATTAGTTTAGGCCTAATGCCATGCTAGTTTGCTATATGACTTCCAGTCAGCTTAGAGTAAAGATGGAGAAAGCTCACTTCTGCTTGCAAATGCTCATGTAGCCATTACTTTAGATAAATACAAAAATATTGCATTGGAGCTCTAAGTCTTCAAGTTTGCAGCTGTACAGTAGTTAGAAGGTCTTTGCCCTTGCTTGTAAAGCTGGTAAATTCTGTCCTAGCTGTCGGTTCAGCTCACTCTTGGTTCATCCATTTGAATCAGCAGGTGTTTCATTTCACAAAAATACATCCCAGTAAGAACCCCAAACCAGCAGCCAGTCAAATATGTGGGGTTCAGAGAAATTCAGAAGATCTGGGACGTGCATTTCATGTAAGTGACCTACCGTTTCAGGTTGTTGAAAAATCTATTGAAATAAGAGGGATGAGGAAAATGTGGTATACCTGCTGGTGCTGCCCCATGAGATCTTCTCATGGTATGCTAAGATGTGCTCCAATCTGAGATGTTACATGTAATGTGGTGCTATGATATGCTCCTGACGTATTTACAGCTCACAGCTCTAATATGGTGTTTTAAGGGAGAGACTGCTGCAGTGGAGATGAAGAACAGAACTTGAGAAAACACCTGTCAAGATTCACCTTTTGGAGGTTAACACCGCTGGTCCAAAGTGCTCAGCTCCAATTTGTAAGAATGATTAATATTCTGTCATGGCTCTTATAGGAATAAGAGCATACTGTGGTTTTCTCCTGAGCTCTAATGCTCCTACAATTTAGAGACTTAGCGAGTACAATTTAAATTGTTGCTGTTCTTTTGACATCTTGCTGAATTTCAGAAGTTTTGAAGTTTAAAATCTTGTTATGTATAAAGCAAATATAACCATACTTCTCTGAAAGAGTGGTCAGGTGCTGGGATGGGCTGTCCAGGGAGGTGGTGAAGTCACTGTCACTGGAGGTGTTCAAGAAATGTTTAGATGTTGTACTGAGGGACGTGGTTTAGTGGGAAATACTGGTGATAAGTGGACAGCTGGACTGGATGAGCATAGAGGTCTTTTCCAACCTTGGTAATTCTATGACTCCATGAAATAAATGTTGGTATCAGTATCTAAATTATTATTATTGTCTGCTGTGGATAAATTTCAATGCAAGGACAAATTCACTAAGATCCTCTCCTCAGTAAAGCACAGAATGTAATCACACGAGTGTTTCCAGTACGTGGATGTGTTAGGAGAAAAAGCCATCGTGTGCACAAGTGTTAGATAATTATATAATTATTCTCAGAACATGTAAACACAGCAAAAGATTCAGAAACAATCTCAGAACGAATTCCTATAGCCGCTAAATGGCAAGCTCTTCATACCTTCTGAACTTCTGAGTTAAGGCACTATAACTGATTCATAAGCATTCAGTAACTCTCCTCACCTCCCCGAGATTTACTGTGATTTCAGCACTGAATTCACTGCATCGGTGAGCAAAAATGAGAGAAACCTATTCAGGTTCTCACAAAAACCTTGGTAAAGTACAGGCTCGGGTCTCTTATGTGGTGTTGATCAAATATCAAGAATGAGATTTCTTTGGCATTTACACAGTCTCACAGACTGAGAGAGATCTGTGGGATTTGAAAAGCAAAGGCCTTGCTGATGTTTATGTGAGATCACAGAGGTAAAAGCGCATATGCTTCACCCAAAACTGGGATGACAGCAACATTCTGGACTTGGTTTGCATGCATTCTTCATGTGCCATCTACGTGTCCAATCAAAACAGTTGGGTTTAACTCCAATTTGCCATTCACTTGTTTTCTGCCAGTAGAATCACTATATTCAATGCTTCAGTCACAAATAAGTGCAATCGAGCAATCAGAAATGTATTCCATATCTGATTTTTGTCTTTTAAAGAAGAGTAGGGGAAAGTGGAGTGAATTGAAAAACATTGAAACCTCCAGATGACGATGTACTCTGAAAATTAAAGCCACTTTGAAAATAATAATATCTACATCATTATTTTATAATGTCTGATTGTGCTGATTTCCCTGTGGGGGGGAAAAAAATGTGAAATTTCCATTTTACACCATTTCTGTTTGGAAAAGTTTGTACCTTCCTTTCCTTTTCTCTTCTGCAGAATTTGATCTTGAAAATTTGGTATAGAAAACCAGTAAAATGATGGGCCTTTTCCCCATGGAGTCACATTTCTTCTGAGTTTAGGTCCTTTTTATTTTAGAGTGGATGTCTTTATAAAGTAAGAATATTACTAAATGCATGAATTCTTAATAAGAGAGCAATTTTCAATTTTGTGTACAATATGAAAGAATGATAAAATAATGGAGACATTTTCTCCTCTGCAAATGTGTTTTCTGACACTTAGTTTATCTCCTACTAATTATGACACAGACAACTGACTTTTCAGAGTTCTACTTTGTGCTGCTATTTACAAGGAGCTTGAGGACCCATTTTATATACTGCAGATCTGAAAATTACTCTTGGACTTAACACAGTCAGTTAAATGCCAAGTTTTCATAAAAGCCTCACAAATGTCTTCTATTTGTAGTTCATGAAAAGTTTCATTCTTTGAAAGACTCTAAATGTTCTTGCCAGCAAAGTGGTGGTAAAATGGTTTTAGCACTTCTGTGAAAACTGTAACACAGATGATTACAGATTATAATACACAGAACAAGGCCTTGGAGAGTACATTAGATTTTAGCAGTATTTGAAAGCTCAACTAGATGTTGGTTAAAAAAAAAAAAAAAAAAGGAAGAAGTACAAAACCTTCTCTCCCTTTCCCTCCCTACTGCAGTCTCTCCAGTCCTTTCATGCACAGAAAAGAACTAATGAAAATACTTAGGTTGAAGATGGTTGTTATGTTGCCTCAAAGACCAAGTGATCCTGATTAATGTTACCCACATGACAAAATACTGAGGCTGCAGAATTACAAACCTCATAAGATTGTGCCATGGCATATCCCAAATTTTAAAATGGACAAAAAAATCACAAATATTTGTAATAGAAGTAATAACGGAGAAGAGTGGAGTCTGACTTTGAAATTTGTCTGTGCTGACACTGAAGACAGCATTGCACCAAAAAAATATGGAAGAGAGGCTCTAGTAGCAGTGGTAGAGAAGCAAGAACGAGTGGTGAGGGGGTTAGAACAGGATGATTTTTGGTCCATTCCAATTCAAGCCATTCTATAATTTTATAATATGGCAGATAAACATCAGGTAAAGCCAGCTTCAGGTTAAAAAGTTTTCCAAACAGGCTTCAAAACCGGGGTTCAGTATGTTTCAAACAGCATTTTTACTTTGTCATAAATCAAACTTTTGACAGATATTTTTAGCAAGCTTCTGTAGATATTTTTCAGCTTACAGCTGGGCGAGTCTGAAACTGCAACTGCTGGATTTCCATCCCTTCTGAAGACAACACTTCCTATTGGTGACCCAGTCGGTGGGACTAGAAAGTTTCCTTCTGAAACTCACTGAGCTCCTGCCCCGACAGAGCCTGCAATGTCTTTTCAAGGAGTCATATAAACATACATATTACATTACATGTTACAGTCTTATTACATACTCATGGGGAGAAAGGTAAGGAATGGAAACAAGATCAGAAACAGTCTGGAAAACAAAAGATGGGTTTAAACAATAAATTCTCTGTGCAGCAGCCATCAACAAGAGACTTGAAACAGTGTACTGCTTAACAAACATACTGTAATACTAACACTAACAGGTGATAAGGTTATTTAGGGCTTCATGCGGGCCAGGGTGGATTATGAGGTCAGGCAAACATAAAATGCAAGAATAAAAGCTAAACGTAAAACAGAAAAAGCATCTTTTTGACAAGCAAAATGTAACCAGTCTTATACCAGACAAGGTCCTGACAACCATTTCAATTGGAGGAAAGAGAGGGTAAGACAGAGATCTTGGAGTAAACCTCCTGGTCAGGGGCAGCCAAGAGCAAGGTAAATTTCCTTCATGAGGATGGGGAGGAGTAGCCATCTCAGTGAGGGTAGAAGTAGGATTAGCCAAAAAGCAGCTTCTCCTGTCAAGCAAGTTCATAAAGACTGGAATTGCTAACATTAGAGAAGTGAAAGATAGTCCTGGATTTGATGGAAATATATATAGTATTGCATGTTCTGAAAAACCTAGATGGGGCCCTTTCTTCATCCTGTCCTGGATTCTACTGTCACTGCAATAAAGCACAGGCAATACCCAAAGAAATTATGTAGTACTTCTCTGGAAAGCACAGAATTAAAATGAGGAATACACTGTCCTAAGAATAGGGGAGGGTAAGGCATAACCAAGATTCAAATACTGAGATAGAGATATGAGAAATACTCAAGAGTTATCATCATTTATGATATTTTTGGCAGAGATGTTATACTTTTTGCAATTAGGAGACTAAACCAATTGCTAAATACTACAATTAAAACTATGTGTAGGCAAGAAGCGACTCGCTGTGTGCAGCAGAGTTCATGAACCTCCTTCAGGAGCCAGCTGGAGAATCTGTAAATGCGAAGCCTGGAAAGCAAAGTGTGCTCAAGCTCTTTTCTCATGGTGGCAGGAGGGCACAGGGAGATCCTGCAAAACAAAGTCAGTTTTTAAAAAAATGAAAGTAAATCAAAATACCACAGTCCTGCTTGAGTTATGTTTTTTTATGATCTTTTACTCAGCCTCCCTTTTTAATTTTGTCCAATGCTCTGTGCTATGCATGATTTAATATTTCAAATTCATTGCCTCTCTGATCCAGATTTACCAGGCACTTTGAAGTCAGACATAGTGACACCTTTTTTAAATGATTTAGACAAAAACAATTGCTGGCATTTTTTGCTATGCCTGTGAAAATTTATAAGACCTAATAATTTTGCGTGCTTTAAAAAGTGGCCTAGAAATACATATGGCAGAAAGTATTTTTGTGTGTCTTGAAACAAACTTAGAGAGAAAATTACTTAATTTAAGAAATCATCTTTAGACAATTTAGCAACTATGGCTTTGAGTGCCCAAATTCTTTAGAAACCATTTATCCAAGCAATAGTTAGAGGTAATTATCCAACCACATGCATACAAAGGAAAGTAAGATTTGTAACAGAGATAGCATTTTTCAAGTCCATGTAGCTGGAGAAAACAGACAAGCTTGCAGACATACATGCCCTCCTCCAGCTCATTTTTTCCCAAGCTACCTAAGTTGGTAAAATAAAATAAACCATTTACATCCCAGAACTACCATTGCTGCAACGCTGATACTGATATTCACAAAGCAGAAGGCTTAAAAGATGTTACATAGGAGCATAAGTTGTCAGCTGAAAACTATATCAGCACAGTGGTAAACAAAAACCTTACCAGCAAATATTTCTATGAGGATACTTGTTGAAGTTCTACCTTAAATTTCTTCCTGGTGAGAATGAAAACCTGACAGGGTTTTTTAGCTTTATTTCATATTTGACCGTTGATGTTAATAAGAATGTCCTGTTCAAAGAACTTCAATGCCAGGAAAAAAAAAAAAAAAGACACAGGGGTGACTGGATGCTGTAGATTCCTCAGAGTTATAAACGAAATACCGGAAAACACATCTGGGAGCCACATTGCTGAAGGCTGAACAAAGTGAACCTAATGAACTGAGGGCTGAAGCAGTGTTGGAACTGAAGGCAGAATGAGCCCTGTGTATGCAGTAGACCCAAAATGTGGATAATCATGTCTACCTCCACCATTTGCAGCAGAAGGACTCCAATTTTGCTAAAACTGTTTCCAATAGAAATGCATCAGACCTTGTTTACTTCTCCTAGACACGTAATGAAAGGAGACAGCAAAAGGCCAGAGAAAATTGCAGCTTTGCTTCTCAGTATTCTCCTATGCCTTTTACAACTTTAATACTGAAAAAGCAGTGTTTCTTGGGTGCAAATGTTCTCCTTGTTCTACCCATTAGAAGTAACACAAGTTCCTCGATGGCGACCTTTAAACTCCTGGAAAATTATGTTATATACACAATTCCTGCATTTGCAGGATCATAGCTCTTTAACGTAGATGTATTTGGAGAACAAGAACTGAATGCTTAGAAATGTCACCTAGTACTTTGCTTTCTCTAGTGGCCCTGCAGACCACAGCAAAGCTTTGAGTTGGCGTTGATGATCCCTATCTGTGTACATGTAATTGATATCAGTGTCAGAAGAAATCATCCCTCATTTGCTCTTGGAAAGTATCTCACCTCAATTAGTGTTTTCCATAACATTGGATGTTTATTCATATTTGTTTTAAGTATGTAAGGCCCTTTATGTAGATAAGGCCCTTTCAGTCAGACTGTTGCTCTCATCTACAGCCAGTTTTTTCTCAGCTCTCCATGTTACCATTTTCAGATATGAATATGCCATGAGAGGGAGAAACTGAAAAGTGACTTCACTTGCACGTGACCCTAGCTTGACTGTCCCCTTTGCACGAGCATCCTTCATGTCCTCAGTCAGGCTCCCCATGTTGTACATGGTGCAGAAGTCCCAGAGTCAAACAGAGAGCCACAGCCTCAGCATTTCTCCATTTCAGCAGGCCTCACAGCCACTGGAAGGCCTGGATTGCTGCAGGATGGACACCAGCCACTTAGGGATGCATCTCTGGAACCATTACTGTCTGAAAACAGAAGCCATCATCCCCATCCACAAGGAGAGGAGCCATCCCCAGGCTCCAGGCCTCGCCATGGCGACGCCACGTCTCCCTTGGAACTCCCAAGGATGTCTCCAGGCACGAGACCAGAGCTTGCTGGCCTGGGATTGCTCTGTCTGCCTCTGCTCGCACAGCGCCTCAAGCACAGCAGCGCTCATCATCAGCTGGATTTAACCAGAAGCTGCCAGTTGCTGCCAACATGAAAACAGGCAGAGGCTCCCAAAGCCACAGCCACACTGCGTGCAAAGCCTAAGTCTACCTACAGGTACTGAATTAAGTCATATAAAACACATGCAGCAACAACAAATGGAATAGGAAGACAACCAAGCAGATACAAGCATTATACCTGTCGAATGCTGCCAGGTACAAGACTTTGGCAGAGGCCATTGTTGGCTGCAGAGTAAATTGTTGGGTTTGTTCAGTTTTGTTTGGTTTCTGTTTTGAAGAGATCCCTTGCAGACACAGCAGCTCCTCAGTGCATGGCTTTTCTTTTTGTTACGCGGTGTTCCCGAACAATGAGGCCCCGCAAGCTACAGCTCTGCAAATAATAAATAGCTTTAATTAAAAAAAGCTTGTGTTTGTAGTTATTTATTTATATCTTTAAAACCAAATTGCCACTCCCAGGATATTCATTCAGCTCTGCAGACATATTAGAAGTCATGAGAAAATGAAGAAATGTTAAGTAGCTGAGGAGGGGATTTAGATGGGGGGAAAATTGAAAGAAGTAACTGATTTGCATACAGCTTAACTAGGCAAAGGCTGAGGGGACATATGTTAACTGTCTATAGGCATCTGTTAGAAATAAACAGGCAGCAGAAGAAAAACAATTTAGGATAGTAAAAGAGCAGCAACTAGAAATAATGATAACTCTGAGAAAGGCAAAACTTAGACTAAACATCAAATATTTTTTTACCTGTGTCCTAGGCAGTAGAACATTCCCAAGAACCTGAATAGAAATACCTTTGCATAGTAAAAGTTGTTTTATCCTCCTGGTTTAAAGTCAGTCTATATAGGAAACACAATCTTGCATTGCTAATTCAGAAACTATCAGTTCCCATCTATAAGCATCATCTTCCAGATAAGGGAGAGCAATTGCAGGAAATATCACTCACTTCAGAATTCACTTCTAAAATTATCATTGCTTATGTAAGGTAAGAACAGAAGCAAACAAGTAGAAAAGAAAAAGAAGGGGCCTGTTCATCAAAATAGTAATGCTACAGTCATTCTGTACTGCCCTCTTTATTAGGACAGTGTCTTTTAGTTTTGAAGCAAAAGAAACAGTATAGAATAGTGTACTCCAAATCCCAGGATATTTTAGAAATAGCATTGACCTATCTGAAAATTTTCCAATGTTTCAGTACTTTTCAGTTGGTATCTCTTCTGCAATTGGTTAAGTGAAAACCAGGTGTGTATTCTCTAGGGTCATCTCAGTGGATGTATATTCAAGAATGACAATTTCTGGATTATGTTCAAACATTCCTCTGGATCCGTGTCATCTTGGCAAACAGCTATAGATGCACATACTGACCTGCATCTCTTCATCTGCTCTGTATTTTGCTCAGTTCCGTAACCACAGCCAGTATTTGGATTTCATCACACAGAGGTGCCAAGTCTCTGCAGAATTAAAGAGGAAAAGTGTGACTCATCTTGAAGAAGTCCAGATGTAATGTTCCCATTACCTGTTACAATGAACACATTACCGTTTCAAAACAGCCCTAATTTTCAGGGGTTGCACTGAGAACTTCATTGACTTTCATTATTATTTGGAAGAATTGCTCCCCAAAAGGTCTTTTCTCCTCTGGTGAACACACAGGGAACCTTCAGCATCTTTCAGACTTGTCCTACTTCATAGCCTCCCTATAAGTTTACTCTTCAACAATGGGACCCTTCATAACTTTGCCAAGATTAACTAAAATGCTCAAAATTGAACACAATTACTAAGAATCAAAGCAGTTCCAGAGCATGCTGCTCAGCTCCCCACAGCACAGAGAGAGACAAAAAAGTGAAGCAACCTTTTCTCCATACAGCTTTATGTACAGCTTAGATTTAGGCCAAGAAATGGAACTAACTGAGCTGACTACTAAAGCAATCTATATGCATCTCTGTCTGCACAAAAATCTTTCCTCTTTCTTCTGCACCAGCACAGAGGCTTCCTCTATTGCTCTGTTTTGCATGATTTACTGATGACTGCACTTGGGAAGATTTAAGCAATCCCTTCTGCACCACTATCTTTTATGTAAACTTACATTTTCCCCTGCCTTTGGCTTGAAAATATAAAATATAGGATACCGTCCTTCAATAGTCACAGACAAACCTTCTGTTCTCCAAATGCAGCAGTTAAAGACTCTACTCATTTAAGAACTGCTGATGGTTCATACTTTACTTCCTTCAAAATAAACACCCAAAGGAACAAAAAGAAATATGACTATTCAAAGTTATATACATGTATTTGATATATGCCCTAATGACCCAAAACATTGACTTTAATGGCTTAAGGAAAAAAGCTGAAAATGAAAGGGTATAAACTGTTTAATCTATAGAAAAAGGGAAAAAAAGAAAAAGAAAAAGAAATTGGCAAGACATATTTATGGAGATACGAGCAGATCTGTTTCTGCAAACAGAAATCATAGAGCGAAGGTACATGAGCTCTTAAGCTTTAAATATTATTTTGCCTGCAATACTGTTTCTTCTCCTACTATTACATATTTTCAATAAACCAAATACATCAATTTTCTACAAGTTTGTGGGTATGCTTGAAACTAGCCTCATCTGGCACAAAGCAAATCTCCACTTTGTTTATATATTCATGTTAACCACTGCTGAGTGCAGGGCCACTAGCTTATCCCTAGGCTGAGGTCATAGAAATATTGCAGCTCACATTAAAGCTAACCAGAAGGCTGAGAGAACCAACACAATGACCTTATGTAAGAAAGGGTCTGAGTTCAACAAGCTTCATCATGATGCCTATGTATAGAGAGCCAGCCTATCTGAGCTGTGATTACAGCGTCCCACCTCTGTTACTCACCACAGTGGAACAGAAGAAAAATTAAAAATCATCCTCATATATGATATCTACTAGCAAGAATAGGCAGCAGAATTGAAGTTGGGTTTATAGCCTTGTATTTTCCCAAAGAGACATCAAAAGTTTTCTAAGTGTAAACCACATATATCATCTGTAGAAAAAGTTTGTTCAGAGAGTAAATAAACCAGAGGTAAGATAAAAACATGGAATTTCCGTAGCCATCTTATTCTGTGGCTATTTATGATGTGCAGTTAGAATCACAGAATCATAGAATCAGTATAGTTGGAAACACCCCTAAGACCATCTAGTCCAACTATCAGCCCATCACACCATGCCCACTAACCATGTCCCTCAGTGCCACATCCACACGGATCTTGAACACCTCCAGGTGTTCCACCACTTCCCTGGGCAGCCTGTGCCACTCTTTCTGAGAACAAATTTTCCTTACTATCCGACCTGAACTTCCTCTGATGCAGCCGAAGGGCATTCCCTCTCATCCTATTGCTGTTGCCTGGGAAGAGAGGCCAACTCTCACCTCACTACAATCTCCTTCCAGGAAGCACGGAAGACTCTGTTGCTTGCTCTGCCAGTTTCATTTGGGGGCTGAAAGAAAGATGCTGGATAATGTCTGAGAGGGATGTTAGCTCCTCACTACACAACTCAGTGTACTTAGATTAGCAGCAGTAGTTGGAGCAGGAGAGCTGGTAGGAGAACACAGAAAGCAAGAACTGCCAGGTGAGACCCTGCTGCTGGTGACCAAAAATTGTTTCCTTGTAAAGGCTATCCCCAGAGAGGCATTAGGACAGAAAAATGTACTGTAGGACAAAAGGGGCTTTTGTTCTCCTGAAACCTCTGGTATGTTCTGTTTTAGAAATTTCAAGTCTACCACAACAATATTTCAGCATTTCATCCACTCTGATTGGAAGAGAGGCAAAAAAAAGAGAAGACAGCGGTGCAGGAGCACACTCAAATGAAATGTAACTTTAAAAGACAGTAATGAGGCAACATTTTGGAATAAGTTTGGAATTAATTATAATCATAAGAATGCATTTATGTAAAAAATTGTATCTCAGGATATTTCTAAATAAAAGTTAAAGCAACCATCCATGTACTACCAATATTCAGTATTGGTGGTACTGTTTAATATGAGGACTCTATTACCCTTTATTAATATACTCATATTCACTTTTTTAAAACACATTTTCCAACCGTCATTTACTAAAAAAAAAAAAAAAAAAAAAAATCATAACAGATAATTGATTTCAGATCTAAAAACAAAACAGAAACCTCAATAACAAGCTGTGTATCCATGGCAAAATTAGCCACTGTGAAGTTACAGTCCCTGATTTCTGTCAACTAACAAATACCCATAGTACCATCTTCATGCTCTAGAAGGATGTCAAATTCCAAAGGGAAAAGATGGAAATAACCTGTGACCAAGCCAGCAAACCCACCCCCCACCTCCTCAGGCATATGATGACAGACTCCTGCTACAGGATTATAACTGAGGGCTGTAAACTCAAGACCTCAGAAGCAAGGACATGGTACAATGAAGGCTGCAGGGCTCACAGGCCAGGAGGGATTTACACTGGATGTTGGTCTGAAGATACACATTCTCCTTGTTGGACTTGACCATACTGCATAGACATGGGAAGATGTACTCAAGGAGTTTGAGACAATGAGGAAGACAAAAAGTGAGTCATCTCTGGAGACATGAATTTTGCCACTGCCTCCACCCCAGAGTTTCCCCATGAATCCCAGGCAAGCTATTGCGTACAGCAAACTTTGAAAATCCCAATTTCAAGGGCCCCTAAGTATTTGCAGACGCTGACTTATGCTCTCAGACGTCATGAGCTACTAGACATTCCATCCAGCCAGGTGTTTTGGAAAATCCAAACAGACATACAAGTAAATTTGAAAATTGTCTCCGCATGGGAACCAAATTGTTTATGTATTAATCATGTGATAAACAGCTCATTAAGAAAAACAAGTTTTATCTGCTCTCATTCAAAGAGACTAAAACAATAATAAAATAAATGAAAGGGTAATTTAGGTGCAAAAAGTATTTTACAAAGATTTTGTTATGCAGTCAGGATCGTTTTACTGAAAAAATAAAGTGCCCCTTAAGCACTCTCTGTGAATTTTCAGTCAAGCATCCATTTCCATCCAAATCCAATCAACTGGAATGCAGATCTCTTTAGAGAGAGAAACAGAAAAAAAAATGCAAACCAATCATAAGTAAAGCTTAAATCTATTATATAGACCTAGATTTCTTGTTCAGGACAGATTTTACTGAAAAAGAAAAGAACTACTCTGGGACATTCTAGCAATTAAACCATCAAGTACCATAGGCAAAACAAGGCCAAACAAAAGATACCCAAGAAACTTAAATAATGTCTTTCCCTAACTTCTGAAACGTTTTGTAACCCCATTAGCATTCCTATGTGATTACAGAAAAAAAGTAAAAAATAAATGTCATCTATAGAAACATTTCTACAATAATGTATTTCCAGAAATACTGGCAGGATAAATCAGGATTACTTTAATTTGAACATCCCTCAAATGTTATAAACCTAAACCTTCCTAATGTAGTCATAACTATGTATGATTGTAAAAAAAAATCTTCATATTGGTAAAATGAAGTCACAGAAGATGTATTTTTTTCCATTTAGACAAGGAGATAATGGGCATGGGGTGATGGGTTGATGGTTGACCTAGATGGTCTTAGTGGTCCAATCTTAATCTATGCATCTACGATTCTGTCCTGATAGCATCTGACACACTAGAGAGGTCTGTAAATAGTTATGACCTGGAGATTAGGAATAAGAGCATCTTGGAAACAGAAGATGTTGTGTTTTCTCCACCTGGCACTTACAAGAAGCCAAGAGCATCAACAATTACTTGACTATAATGTCTTAAGGTCTGAGACAAATCCCCTTGGTAGCCATTCTACTATACTCAGTGCTCTCTGAAGTAGTCCCTAAGTAAACAACTGAAGAACTAAAGTCAAATACTTTACTGTATACTTTTTTTCTGTACCTCTCTAAAAACACAAATGGTCACTGGTACTGGTAGATGATTCAGCCAGAAGTCCAGCAGCTTTGCTCTGGAAACTTATCAGTCCTGTTTTTTCAGCTACAAAATGAAGTGGTCCCAGGATTGATGCTTGCTGGAGGCATTCTGCTCTTGGCTCCACAGACACGTGCTCACCTCTCATTTCTGTGGCTGACATCCAATTCACTAGAGACCTCCAAATGGAGATCTTTTAAACAAGAATGTCCTTTCAGCAGCCTGTACTTGAAAGCACAATTAATTATGAACCTACTGAAGTGATATTTTTACATAGATCTGATTTTACTTCATCAAACATCTAATCTACAAACGTGAATGAACTGACAACGTAGTCTCTCCTCCTGTGTGACATAAATTTGAGCTGACAGTCCCATCACAGAAGATTTCTTGTCATTGTAGCACTTCTTGTTACTATGTAAAGAAGCCAGGATTGCTAATGAAAACTACTTTTTTGTGCCATTTTCAATTATAAGAAGATTTGTGAGGGGTTTTGGAGATGTTGTGCTGATTCCTCGCCTCTC